AGTGTTTGCTGTGCCATGCAGAGAAGCCTTTCTGATCAAAAGTTATCTTTGGCATTAGATTTCTTGTGGAGCAGGCCTTCCATAAATTCTTTAAGGAAGTTGAGAAGAAGGTAAACAGAACTTCCTGAGAGTGAGTTGGGCCTTGCTTGTCTTCAACTCAAAATTATTCCCATTCCAAAGTGGTATATTTTGGGGTCGTATATTCTTTTCCCCCTCATTCATGACTAAATAGAAACTTGGAGCCAATGGCCTAAACTAAACTTCTATGTTGGGATTCTACAGGAATAGAGAAAACAAAATATCAAAATCTTTGATCTATTCTAGCTCATCTACTTCATGCCACACCCATCCCTTCCATTCTCTGCATCATTACATAACACTGTTATCACGTATCTACCGGCGACTGATGGAAAATATTATTGTCCAAATAGGATATTACCAATGACTGTGAAGTGGGTAATGTAATAAGCATGTTTCTGTATCTGAACTCCTTTTCTATGGCCATTGTACTGAAATCTCTAAAGATAACAATGACATAGTGATGGTAGATTAGGGTCACATGCCCAAATATAACAGCATGTAACACAGTGAACAGATAGATCCATGTTGGTGATACGTTGTATAACTAAGTTTGTTACAACACAGCTGTACTAAGCTGTATAACCCAGTGTATGGGAGGTTGTGTTAAAGGCAGAGGAAGAAAGTTTAACCTCTCTGCAAATTCATGTCCAGAAATATGCGCTCTGAATTAGACACCGAATGCAACACTAAATGCTGTGGTGGTTCACAAATCCCTCTTCCTGATTAGAGCTCAGTCCCCTGTAAAGGAGGGCTGCACACCACAGTATGTCTAAGTTTTTTCCAGGTGCCACAATCCATCTCTATATATCTGGGGTTCTAATGCTGTGTAAACTGTCCCTATTATTGCAGATATTTACAAGCCAACAAGCAAAACAAAACAAAGAGTGGCTCCACCTTCATACAAAGAATTGAATTGTATCACTAGGCTGATTTGACCTCAGCGGCAATAATGATATCAACTAGAGTGTGAATTGTGGCATTTCAAATACTTTTAATCACAGCTCTATTAACTGGCCTCATATTCTGCATTCAGACTTTAGCATACACTTCACAGATATGGTTATGCACTTTATTAGGATTCAGGAAAATAAAAATTAAAATCACAGTATAGTACTATAACTCACCTAAAGAGTAGATAAAATGAAAAAGATTCACAATATTAATATCGAGTACTTGTGTGGATGTGGAACAACTACAGCTCTCACACGTAGACAGTAAAAGTAAGAACTGATGTTCAACTTTGGAAAACTGTACGGCAGTATCTATCACAGCTGGCCCTAAAATTCCATTCCTAGTTTTATATCCAATAGAAATGAGTGAGTATGTACACCCAAAGCTTCTCCAAAAAATGATCAATGTAGCATTATTTGGAATTTGACAAATAATCTATAGTATGTTTGTTCATTGGGACACTTCACAGCAAAGAGAAAGAATGAAGTATCATCCCATGCAACAGCATGGAGGACTCTCATATATATACACTATTGAGTGGAAGAATCTAGATGTTAAAGGATAAAAACCTAATGATTTCCATTCTATATAGTTTTTATAAAACTATCCTATAAGGCATCAATTTTTGTTAGGGCCCACAGACAGTCTCTGAAATTCTCATTTTATTCTGTTTTATGGTCAGATGGTCAGGGTTGGAATACAAGACTTTTAATTTTCAAAAGCTCACCTGTTTAAAAAAATATATGTATATGGTTTATATATATACATATATAAAACTTAAGAGGTTTTCTAAAAACAAAAGTGATTTCCTCTCACATAGTAGACAACTGCAGGATTTTATTATTAATTTTTAAATCTTGAGCAGTTTCTTGTACACAATATGTTTTCAAGATATTCTTGTAAAATTAATAAAGCACACAATATTCACAGACTATTTCATTAAATGATTATCCTTTATGTTACTGAAAAGTACAACCTTGCTTATAGAACAGAAGTGTTTTTAGTAACCCATAGGCACTGCTTTTCTTATTTCCTGAAACAGGGGGACTTAGTGAACCTGGTTTTCCTTGATAGCATTTATCACACACTGAATTCACATGATAACGGCCCATGCCTCAGGGCCAGACAACCATTTTCTCAAAGAAGTTTATACGTAGTCAGTTGCCTACGTGCTTACTTGTGATGTTTAGGGGCATCACTGACACCAGAAAAGCCATGTAGATTTAGATTTTTTTTCTCACTTGTTTTTCTCTGAGGCCTTAAATCCTACGTTAAGTCATTTCCCTCCATAGCTAGAGAAAGCCATTCTATGAAAACACAAATTCTTTGGGAAGTAATTTAGATTGTCCTATTTTTTTAGCAGATATTGTTACCTATGCTTCAGATTTAACAGTGGGAGTTAAATTTCATGATCTGGAAGGGAAGCCATGTTTATAAACATGGAGTCTGAATCCCGATAAACAGAGTGTAGCCTGAGGAAACTGGCATCTGTGGAGACAGGGAAGACCTGAGGGAAAATGAGTATGAATGGGAATCAGAGGAAAGTGACCAAGGAAGACTCCTCTTCCAAATATGCACCGGAGAACTAGAGAATGGCAGTAGAGCTCTTAGGTATCACAAATACATCATTTTCTTGTGTTTACCTGATGGAAAATTACCAGCAATTACTTTGGTGGTTTGAAATTTGGCTCAGCAATATCTCCCACAGGAGTACATTTGGTATTTTAGTATCAGGGTCATCACACAATTATTAGCAACATATTATGAAAAAGCATTAAAAATTGTCACTAAAATCACTGTGCCAAAAATTAAAAAGATACAAATTTAAATGAATTTGCCTGAAGAGTATTCTAGCTTTATAAAAAGCAGAGACAAACTCCATAACACAAACCAGAGAAATAAGTAAACAAAAATAACTACAAAATGTATGTTTCTGTTTAATCAGGGCAGTTTTTCAGAAGAAATGTGAAATTAATATGAAACGTATTAGAATGCATAATCTGGCACATACCTTGCACATCTTAATTTTGCTGTTTGTTTACACAAATTTTTCATTTATGGGTTTGTGGCAATTAAGACTCAAGATGTGCAGCTAATCTATGTGGTTATTGTACGTATTTTGAACATTAAGTAATGGTAGACATTTAACGAACACATAGCAACCTATGCTTGTAATTGTACAGCAATGATTCACACACATGCTAGAATATTACTCAGTAAAAAGACTATATGGAGATTATCCCTCTAAGCCGTCGGGTTCCACAAGCTCAAAGGACATCATTTTCTTTCTTTTCTGTTTTTTGTTTTTTGAGGAAGATTAGCCCTGAGCTAACATCTGCCACCAATCCTCCTCTTTTTCTGAGAAAGACTGGCCCAGAGCTAACATAAATGCCCATCTTCCTCTACCTTCTATGTGGGATGCCTAACCACAGCATGGCTTGACATGTGGTGCCATGTCCGCTACCCAGGATCCAAACCAGCGAACCTCGGGCCGCCAAAGCAGAATGTGCGAACTTAACTGCTGCACCACTGGGCTGGCCCCAATTTCTTTATTTTCTGTTTAATTCTTAGAATGGTATGTCATTTTCACTTCACACCAACTTAATGAAGTTCAAGCGCCCAGCTGACTTAAAGAAAACAGATTACATTCCAATGTGGCGACGCTTCTGCCCTCAACCACTGAAAATGTAAATTGAATGGTCTCTCAGTTCTCTCAGAAATCTAGGAGTCTATGGGTCATTAAGCTTTGAATTTTTAAGTAGCGCTTTAACATAATACACTTCAACATTCTATGAGAGTATTTAAGGGAGTTATCTTTTAAGACAAATTTGTTTCATTGCACTGTATTCAGGAATCTATCGCAAGCAATTTCTATGAAGTCAATGTAGATAAATGTTTGAGAGACTCTAGAAGTAACCATCAACTCTGAGTTCCAATATCTGTGTCATACAATGAATTTTTTAGGGACAACTGAAGACATATGTGATAATATAAAATATATGATATGTGGTGATAATTAAATAATATAAAACATCTGACTATGGTAAAAAAGCCTAAATTCTCCTTTATGAAAGTTAAATCATTTTATTGTTAAAGGCCATTTCTTAGAATTTATTTTATAGAAAGACTTGGCTAGGAAAAATTATGTAAGTATAATTTTACTCGTATCAAGAGTTTTTATGAAGCAAAGATTGTATATAATCCAAGCGGCCATTCACGGAGAATAGATTGAATCAGTTAATGTACATCAATAGCAAGGACTGCATTGCCTTTTTTCATAACACTCATTTAAATGTATAAAATATTGGTGCTGTCCCAGTGGTGTAGTGGTTAAGTTTGCGCACTCTACTTCAGCGGCCCAGGGTTTGCAGGTTTGGATCCTGGATGAGGACCTACGAACCACACATCAGGCCATGCAGTGGCAGCATCCCACACACAAAATGGAGGAAGATGGGCACAGATGTTAGCTCAGGGCTAATCTTCCTCAGCAAAAAAATATATATATACAATATTTTTACAAAACATGTTTGTTCTGACATCATTTCTGTTTAAAAATAAAAAATCTCACAACATAGGCAGCAGAATCTAGTTATTTCTAGGCAGTGTGATTTTAGTCATTATTTTTGCTGTATTCACAAAAATCTTTATTCTGTGACTATGTTTATTGGGAGAGTGTTTGTGCATGTGTGCCTGGGTAAGTGTGTGAGCATGAGTGGGTTAGTATTTGTTTCCTAAATTTTTTAATTATAAAAAAAAATACCCCTATAGCAAATGTTGAGCTGGAAATAAGGAATGCTCATTGACCAGAGTCATTTTACTGTTGTTAAATAAGTATAGTATTGGGCAGTAAGGTAGAGAGGAACAAAAATAACATCTAAAAAAAAGTCATAAGTTCTTTCTTAGTCACATAGCCTGTAGGAAATAACAGGTGATAAATGATATTATTATGCTTGTCACTTAATCCCCAGAGACCCAGTGTTTAACTTCCAGGGACCAGACACAGAGACGGTTATAAAATCCAGCTCAGTCAGAAGGCAATGCTGAACCCCCCTGCAGAGACAGTTGCATGCAACAAAGAAAACAGTAGTTCTGGAACAGGTACAAATATTTATTGTTGTTTTTATTATTTATATTTTAGATTTCTTTGATTCTTTTATACACTTTTGCTGAAAGCATGTTATAAAAGCAAAGGAGGGTATAAAATATTATACAACCCAATTTTAATCACTTTTATCATTCTAGTTATTTTAAATACATATATACATAGACAGCAAACAATATAATAAAATACAATTATGGATTGTGTATGTGGTCAGTTTTTGTTTTTAATCGCACCTGTCCTTTACTATTTTTTAAAGATATTTTCTTTTTTAAGGAAAGGATTTTTTAAAAGATCTTTCTACAGAGACAGCTATTTAGATGAATTCAGACCAAGGATTTAGAGACCTGCACAGTGATCACTAGATCATTATTCAGATACTCTTTTTCTATTCTTCTTCTACATTCAACTCCACTTTTCTTATATTTTTAGAGAACAGAGGAGGTCATGGCTGACATTACATACAACAGAATTGGCTTGGCTAAAACATAACAGTGGGACATAGAATTCAGGTGGCCTCCCAAGGACCACCAGCTCTTTTAAAGGAAGGCAAACTTCAGAGATGTTTAAGAAAAATAGGCATAAAAGAAAAACATAAATCAATATTACTATTTCTAGGGATTGGGATGGTGCACAGTTCAGACATGACTATTTCTGATGTCATGGGATTGTGGACACATGAAAACTTTTATCATGTGTGCTACACATCTGTTCTGCTGGTGAATAGATTTTGTAGGAGCCAGGTTAGGCCTGGCATATTCCTGTCTGTGCACTCTGCTGCATCACTCATGGAGAACTTTCTACCCCTTTCTCCAGCAACTACCACCTTCCCTGAGCCAGTGAGTCCTAAATCACATCTATCTCTACCCCTTGTTAATTTATACTGGATAGGACCTGATGGGTTAATGGGGAAGAGAGGACATTTTATATCCAGGAGTCAGCCAGAGCTCTGTCTGCTCCACAGTTGTAGATGATGAGGGAAAAACAAAGAAGTATATTACTTATGTACATCTCTCACTTAACTATGACTCTCTATTACAGGATATAACAGCATTTCCGCAGTATTGAAAAAAACAACAAGAATCATGTCAGAAGATGAGGGTTATGTGGACCAATTAATTTAAGGGGTGCAGCATCATGACTGTCCTCCTTTCCTACAGCTACATCATAATTACCATCCTTAGAATGAACTCAGCTGAGGGGAGATGCAAAGCCTTCTCTACGTGAGCCTCCCACTTAACTGCTGTTGCTATATTTTACGGCACACTCCTGTTCATGTATTTCCGACCCAGCTCCAGTTACTCCATGGACACAGACAAAATGGCCTCTGTTTTCTACACAGTTGTGATCCCAATGTTAAACCCACTGATCTATAGCTTAAGGAATAAGGATGTGAAAGGTGCCCTGAAAAAAGCAATTGACACTATGTTTTGCTCTGTGTGAAACCATGTTTTCACCCAAATGTATTTGTTTAATAATTCTGAAAGCTAAAGTTCAGGTACTTTGACATAGATTCCTGTAGTGCACCAATGCATCTTTTAGATATTTCCCGCTACTTGTTTTTGTGCTTAAATTAACGGTAGGGAGCAGTCATTTCTGATCTGAATCTTCTCTCCAGGCTAAGGAAGAGTAGTAATAGTTTCATTATCCTGTTTTTCAAAGATGATCTTCTTATACTTCTCTTCTCTGCTCAAGAGTATGACTTTGTGAGATATCATGGGCAGAGAAACTTCTCCCCACATGTCAATTCAACTTGCCCTCCTAAGTTTCCATTTTTATTAAACAGGGAGTTTAGTAAATTTGCTCATCCAGAATGGAGGGTTAGAGGGTTAAAATACTTTTGTTTATATCTTTCCAAAGTACTTATATCATTCTGTAAATATTCCTTCCTAACGCTTAGATGTATGAAAGTAGTCCATAAATAAAAAAGGATAAAAAAAATCTCCTGTCCTAAGTCAAATTTTCATAAATGCAAGGCTCTGTCTTCTCTTGTTCGCCAATATTTCTACTTTGCCATTTGCAATGCTTTGCTCCAGGAAGTCATTCAAAAACATCTCTTGAATAATGAATGAAAGTCCTCTGTAAGATTGATGCAAAAAGGAGCCTTTGTAAATTCACAAATTAAAAGAGCTCCCTTTATTTATTTATTCTTATTCTCATAGGCTCATCTTAGGCAAAATCTGTATGTGTTTCTCGTCTTTTGGCCTAACCTGAACAAGTATCAGAGACAGGGATCATTTGACGTAGAGAACTTCTTGGATTCTCTCTTCCTCATCATTCTGTCTCGATTATTATTATTAGCAGACATCCCCAGGATCAGCAGCTGTAGATTCATATTGCAACTCATGGACTTTACATCAGGTTGTGGATTTCCCTTCTTGCCCTCACTCTAGAGAACAGATGCGGTGCTATTGACAACTGTACGGAAACTGCATGAATGGAATTTGGGGGTAAAGGATTTGGACCTTCTCAAAGGCCACTGGAAAAGAGAACTCTATCTCCCCTGATGTGTTCATAGCATTATACTGGTTCAAATAAAAAGTTTTAGAAAACCTGAAAGGCCAAATTGATACAGTTTAAGTTGTAAAGTAATAGTGATTAACAAAAATATATGTTCAATGGAAAAAAAGAAAAATAAGTAGTATTTAATTTAATATTCCATATGTAATGACTTATATTGGCTCTCTGTGCCTCTGTGAAATAAACTGAAAGTGTAATCTAAACACATTTTTAATAGCAGTCATTGCTGAGATCTGGATGTTAAATAATCCTTACTTTATTCTAATAAGTTAATTTTTTATGTTTTTCTGTTTTAAATTAACAATTACTCCAGTTATGAAAATATGTTAGAATTCAAGTTCTTAGGTCTATTCATTTTATTTTATGTTGTTTTCAAGAAAGGAAATGGAAGCATTCTTTTCTGATTCCAGGAGGACAGAGTAGTGAGTTATACAAGGTTCCCATTTAAGTCCTCCTCTCTAATTTTATGTATCCTTTTAGAGAACAAAATGTGTTGAATGTTATGTACTTCAAAACGTTGTAAGAGTAAAACCAAATATTTTAAAAATATGAAATTTCCAGCGGGTTATCTTCAATGACTAGTTAAACAGAGTTTTAAGACAAAAATATTTTATTACTCAGATATTTTCTTTTATAATCTCAAATAACTTTTTTTGCTGCTTATGGGATAATTTACATATCACTACCTCTTAATCATTGTCCAAAACCCTTTTACAGTCAATATACGTTATTAAAAATGTATTAAATATGCTCATATCTATAAAAGTTAAACCTACTCATGTTATGAAAAATTGGATTCAATGGCCATCTTTTACATATATATTTGAGGAAAAAGATATATCCCTTTCTTTCTTTACCTTTTTTTTTTTATTTTGGTGAGGGAGATTTGCCCTGAGCTAACATCCATTTCCATTCCTCCTTTTTTTTCCTTTGGCTTGAGGAAGATTGGCCTTGAGCTATCATCTGTGCCAATCTTCCTCTACTTTGTATGTGAGATGCCTCCATAGCATGGCTGATGAGTGGAGTAGGTCCACACCCAGGATCTGAACCTGTGAACCTGGGCCACCGTGGTAGAGCACACAGAATGTCAACTACTCAGCCATGGGGCTGGCCCCCTTCTTTACCTTTTTAAAGACACTGACTTAATAGCCTTTATACATGATCAGGAAAGCAGGATTTTTGTTTTTGTTTTATTTTCATTATAAGAAAATGGCCAAGCTGAGAGACAGTTTAAGATAAGAACTGGTCCTTGAAGAGAGACAAGCCTGAGATTATAAGGATTTATATATATATATATATATATATGTGTGTGTGTGTGTGTGTGTGTCTAAACAATCAGATATACATGATTGTTCAAGAGAGTTTCTAAGATTATACGGAGTCTACTAACTCCCCATCAGACACTAAATCCCTGGCGCTGAAGGAAAAAGATGTCATTCATGGCACTATGTCATATAAAAATTCTCCAGGTTGCATCCTTATCCCCTTGGAGCCTACTCACTCAATCTGTCAGATTCCCGTTGCAGATCGCAGCCTCAGGTCACGGTTAGAGCTCTCTGCCCACCCAGTATGACTTCTTTGTCCTGACCCTGCCTTCACTCCTGGATAGAGCTGAGCAGAGCTTTCTTCATAGCTACCCATGCTAGCCAGACCATTTCCATGCCAGGCCAGATGCCTGAAACCATTCTACTGATCTAAGCCTCAGACCCCATATTGCCAAGAAATGAGTTTAGATAATTAATCCCAGGGTACTCCATTTTATGTTATTCTGTACGGTCCTATCCTAAGGGCCATGGCTGACATGGCACACTTAACAGCAAAGAAGTGGCATCTATGTATTGTGATGAACCCATGCACTTTGAGAACATTTCCTGCTCAGTATTTAGGATGAAGCACTTGGTGTCATTCCATTCTTCCCTATTAAAATTCCACATTAGCCAGAGCCTTACCTCACCGCTGATCTGTATAGATAAAACTCTACTTTTAAAGATAGTTTCCATTGCAGTAAATGGAACTGCTATTTTGATTTATAACCTAATGTGCATTTTCACTCTCAGAAGGCTTTCCTCCCTAATTCTTCCTTTCTCCTACTCTCAGCCTCACTTTTGGTTTAGTATTTTCTTTAGACTTCCAGTCATACCTTCTCTATGAGTCATGCCCCAGGAACGTTCCAAAATATCATCCCACCATTTCTAGTTTCCTGTTCCCATCTCTGGCTCCAAGAACATAGTCTCTTTCAGTAATTGTGTGTAATGCCCCAGTGTTATAGATCAATTTTTTTTTATCATAGTTCCTTATATTGGTATCTATAAACATAAGCATGACCAGTGATGACAATTATGTTCTATGTATAATGATACAAGCACTTAGCTCCATATTGATGCAAAGCTGGTTAGCTAAATTTCTTAAATCAAAACAATAAAAATTCTCACTATATCAATAAATATGTGGCCTCATCTTAAGAGACACCAAATGCAACCTAGTTTCAAATCTTCTGTGAAAACATACTATGAACAAAAGAAATGGTGGCAACAAAATTGGGTCTGAATCTCTACTCTCAACTTACGATAACTATGACCTTCAACACATCACTTTTCTCTTTGAGCCTCAGTTTCCACTCTGTTAAAAGAAGGGCTAAAACAAGATAATCTTTATTATGTATTCCAGTTCCACATTCTGTATTCATATCGATATGAATCTATCAACACATATACCTATTTCAATTTGGGGTAATTAAAAAAGTAGCAGATGGGTGGGAATATATTTATACTAAAGGAATACATTTCATCTCTAGGCCAATTTGATCAGAAATGGAAGTGGTAATGATGACAGATATCACAGATTGCAAGAGCCCCAAAATCATCAAGTCGGACCCAGTTAACTGGCCTTTCAATCTGAACTTTTACTTTAAGGATCACATTATAAAAGTGGATATCCAACTTTATTAGTCATCATGGAAATCAAATACTCTACATGACAGCTGAAATTAAAATGATAGACAGCGTTAAGTATCGGTGAGGAAGTGGAAGTGCCAGAGAGCTCATACACTGAGAATTTGATAGTGGAAGTGTGGATTGGCAAACTTCATAGAAAACTATATGATGATATTTACCAAATCTAAATTTTATACACACACATGCCTGAATATATTTTCAGCTCCTGGTTTTACGCAAGATAAATAATTGTATATCTGTAACAAAAAACATCTACCATAATGTCCATTTAACATTATTGGTAATAAGAAAGGGAACACAACTCAACTGTATATCCATGGTAAGTAGATAAATAAGAAATGATATATTTTTACAAAAGAATGCTATTGAACAACGAGAATGAATGTACTGCAACTGTATGGAACAACATGGATAGACTGTACAAGTATGTTAATAATTGAAACAACATATGACTTAATCATCTAGTTATGTATGGTTCCAAAAAAATATGAAACTAATCTACCATAATAAAAACTATGAATGTAATTTGCATAAGAGATTAGTGACTTAAGAAGGAGAAAGTAGAAGGCTTCGGTGATTCTAGTAATGTTTCGCTTCTTGGACTGGGTCCTGGTTACTGGGGTATATGTTGTTTTAAATTTATCTATCTGAATACTTATCATTTAAATCTTCTCTATATGTGCATTACTATCATAAAGGTTTTCCAAAAGAAGTCCATTCACCATTATATTGTAAGCAAGTTCAGAATTTTATGATTATAATTTTTTGTTTCCAGTCATACCTTGTATACCATAAAGTTTGCTGTATTTTTGTAAAATAATGGAACAATTTTCATTGACTATTTCAGTGAAAAATTATCTCTTTTGTTAAAAATGGTTACTGTGTGTATTTAAAGCAGAGGTATGTTATTCAAACCATGAACACTTCTAATATTGTTTCCGGGAACAAAGAGACTTAGTGAACCTGGTTTTCCTTGGTACCATTATCATGCATTGAACTTACTCAAAATGGCCTAACTCAGGACCATACAACTATTTTCTGAAGGAAAGCATTTATAAGTAGACAGTTGCCTACATAGCATTACATTTAGGGGCACCAGTGAAGTTGTTTAGATATAGATTTTTTTCTCATTTGTAGATGTCTTAAATTCCAACCAAGTTACTTTCTTCCGTGATGTAAGAAAGTCATCTTCAATTAAATACAAGTCCCTTTGGAAGGTTAATTATCCAATTGTTAATAACAATGTAGCCAGTAAAGCTCAGGTTTTAATGGAAAGAGGTGAGGGACATTAGACTAAGTGGTCTGCATGAACAGTCATGTGTAGGAAGTTAAATTTAGCTCCTACCTCAACAGAGTGTAACCTAAAGAGATTTGTCATCCTTGTACACAGAGACGCCCTTGATGAGAAAATGAGTTTGGAAAGAAATCAGAATAAAGTGGCTAGAGACAAATCCCATTCCTTTTATATGCTCCAGGGAAGTAGACAATGGTAGTAAAGCTCTTGGGTAACACAAACGCATGACGTCTTGAGTTTAATCATGAAAAATTAGTGCAATTACTTAATTTGAATTGGCCTCCACAATATGTCTTACAGGAGTAGATTTGGTATATTTGTATCAGCATTATCATACAAACAATGACAATAAAATATACAAAGGAGTTCTGATGCATCACTAAGGAGACGTGTTCCCCAAATCAACAGTAATTTATTTAAATGATTTTAGACTAAAATGTGGTTTCGCTTTATTAGGAACCATTAAAAAAGGCAATGTCCGTCTCTAGTGCCAGGTGAGGTTTTAGAAAAAACAATTTACCTGCGGTATTTGGGGACATATACTGGCTTATGCCCATCACTTCACAAATTAGTTTTTGTACACAGGTACTTTGTATTTGTTTGTTTTGTGGTAAAGAAAAATATTAACTATAATAAGGCAGAGTATACAGCAGGACTACATTATGTTATAATCTACAGTAGAATTTAATCAACACATAGAAATTTGTCCTCGTCAGTATGCTGCAATGATTCACATATTATAAAATATCACTCAGTACATGGTCAATAAAGAAAGCATCCCCCAAGGCCACCACATTGTTCAAATTCAGGGGCACCATTTTACTTATTTTCTACATGCTTCCTGAATTTGTGCAATGCAGCAACCCATTGCTCACCAAAACTGGTGATGATGAAGTGTCCAGCTAAAGTGGATAAAATAGATTATGTTTTAAAGTGGAAGCTCTTCCAATTATTCCCTT